GCAGCCCCTGAGTCCGCAGGCTGATGCTCTATCCACTGAGCCAAACCGGTTCGGCCATTTTTAATGTTTTGAGGATACTTCATACTGCTTTCCATGGTGGCTACACCAGTCTGCATTCCCACTGACGGTGCGTGCACTAGGGTTCATTTAAATTGATAAAATGAAAAGCACAGTTTCAAATGGCATTACCTTGCCTCTGATGTGATATTTTTAACGTTTTCACATTATTTCAATTAATTCATTAAGTGCTTTGCCTATATCTGATGTGGTTTTCCACTATTTTTTATCCCATCAGTGTGTCAGTGATAACTTAGATGGAAAACTTCCAAATGGTCAAAATTGAGTCTCTCACTTGCTTTACGCATTCCACTAGGATCATCCTTGGACATTTTTCATCCACAAAGAAGACACACTGTGTTATAAAATTAGTATGTGTCCATCTTTATGAAAGTTCCAAATGCAAAAGTAGCTCCCCATTCTTCTAGTTATGATCTCCACAACCTCCCACCCCAACATACCCATGTAACAATCTATATCCCAGAAATAAGTACTGTTGTCAGTTTCACAATACAGTTTTAGATTTTGTTTTTAAATAGACTTTAAAATATTTAAAAATATCAATGTTCTCAAATATTCATAGAATTTGAACCTACTGTTTTCATTTGATATATGAATGTATAAAGATATTCTTATTTTTAATGGCAGAATTTCCATATGTAATTTTTCATTTCCTAATGGTGAACATTTAGGTTTCTATTTTCCCTCTTAAACACACACATTGAGCATACATGTATATCCATCCTTATTTGATAAAAAGCCCAGAACTGAAATTGTATTAAAGGAATAAATTTCAGTTTTTGATATAGATCGTCAGATTGTCCTCCAGGACATTGTACCAGTTTGCAATCCTATGAACAGTGTGTGGTTGGCAGCCATGCCAACACGGAGATTACCGGTCATTGTAAATCTTGACAGTCTGATAGGTGAAAATATTATGCTGTGTAATTGATACTGATTTGGTTTTTAGTGAGCTTGAACCACTTATTGTCTATGCATTTGTTCCTTTGATTTTTGTGTGGTGTTTTTCCATTTGTAACTTTTTCAAGAGCTCTCTCCATAATTGGGATGATGTTTTTTTTCTGCATATGTTCAATTTTTGTAATTTGTCATTTGTTTTAGCTTTATCATTTGCTGTTCAGATATTTACTTAATCAATGATTTCTTTTGAGTTTTACTTCATTGTTTTTCTTATAAAGGCATTTACATCCCAAGATTATAAGATAACTCATATTTTCTTTAAAAAAAACCCCACACCATTTTTATTGATTTCACAGAGGGAAAGGAGGAGATAGAAACATCAGTGATAAGAGAGAATCATCTTAAAAAAAAAAAAAAAAGAGAGAGAGAGAATCATCTGTCTTGGCTGCCTCCTGCATGCCCCCTATTGGGGATTGATCCTGCAACCATAGCATGTGCCCTGACTGGGAATGGAACCGTGACCTCCTTCCTGGTTCATGGGTCAATGCTCAACCACTGAGCCACACAGGCCGGGCATTCCTCCCCATCTTTTGATAGAAGCCCCTTTCTTTCTTTGGAGGAACTACCCTTCCCACACCCCAGGAGGTCCAGCTAGACTGCCCTTCACTTGACCCCATCTACATACCCCTAACCCTGACTCCACTACAGGCTGACCTAAGGGACTCTTCCAAGAATTTGTGTCTTGAGAGAAGGGAAACTTGGCCAAAAGTACTCAGGATCAGTGTCATCTAGAAGGCAGGCCCTAAGGAGATGTCCACATTTTGGCCTGGGGTGGCCCTGATTTCTGTCTCCCAAAGCCTGATTATTCAAGTGCTCCTTCCATTCGAGGAGTTTCCCAATTTTCTTCAATACATTCTGTTTGCTTCTGTTACAAGTGATCCAGATATCAGTGCCCAAAAAGTTGGTTGCAGATATTAGACCTTGCTATCAATGGAATTGTATCCTTCCCAAAAAGATACATTGAAGTCCTAACCCTGAATACCTTCAAATGTGGACTTATTTGGAAACAGGCTCTTTACAGAAATAGTTAAGTTAAAAATGAGGTCATGAGAGTGGGCCTTAATCCAATAGATCTGGGGTCCTTAAAAGGGGGAAATTCAGACAGAGACAGATA